GTAATCACAGACAGCTGCTCTTTATAGTGTAACAGAGTTTATTAAGTTCCAATAATAATGATCTCATCAACTAATATCTAAACTAACAACAAACTATACATCCATGAGGGAGAGAGTGTGTGTGTGTGTGGGGGGGTGCATGTATTTGTGTGTGGGCGAGACGCGAGACAACAGTTCAGACAAGGTGTGATGTAATCTAAACGTAGCTACGTCACGTGGAACTACACGTTGAAGATAGACCAAACTACCAAAATGTAGTTTGCACGTAACCACCTCGCGAGACTACGAAATGGCCGGGACTCTAACGTGGTGATAGACAAAAGAGAGATCGCTATCTACACGTGTCTGAAGCAGTTAGCTCAACCCCGGAGCTACATTAGCTTAAAGCTATATGTGTGTGTGGGTTAGTAAAAGAAGAGAGAAAGCAAACAAAACAAAATAAATCCTCCAAAAACAAAATGAGATCCTCCCCGCCGCGGTGGAGTACGGAAGATTGTTCTCTCATCTACAGTTATAAAAATGACACAGTGACTCAAGCAACACAAACAAGATAAGAAACACCATTGACTAAATCTGCCCAGACTCTTTGCCTTACTATGAGTAGATTTCATGGCCTGACCAGTTGGTCCTTTGATGGAACTCAGGCGGTGCGGTGATGAAAAGCTCCATGTGTCAGAGATACTTTCTTCGGCTCAGTAAGGGAATGTTTCTTTCCTTACGGCTGGAACAAAGGTGGCTTGGGTGGAGAGGAGAAATGTGCTTCTCTCTCTCTCTCTCTGAAGAATCCGTTTCTTCACTTCTGTAAGAAAATTGTCCGATTCCTCTTCCAGGATGCGAACAAAAACAAACAAACAAACAGTCCAGTATATTCGTCCAGCGAATCTAAAACTGTTTAACCTAGGATTTTCTTTTAAAGACAGCAACGTTGCGTGCCTCCTTAGTCCGACCATGGTCAGAGGGATAAGCATAGAGATGGGGGAGCAAGACTGTTTTATGGAAACAGGGCTGATCCACAGGGGTCCTGGGGTGTCTATGGCCCTCGTCCAATTAGATTGCAGTGTTGATGTTTATTGCTTTCGCATCTAAACATTCCTTGGAGCTTGCTCTTATCTGAAACTCAGATCACGCTGGAGATGTCTCTGCAAAGTAGGAAGGCCAGATCCCTTTGTCTCATTGCACATGGCCCCAACCCTGTTTAGTCTGGCTGATGGACTGTTGAATTAGTTGGATGCCATTGTGCAACTGTGGTCTTTTTTTGTTGCAAACCCTGGCCCTGGTCTTGTAGACATCTCTTGATATGAATATGTGGTAAATCCCAAAGCAGAGCATACTCTGGGATTACATTTACATCTCTTACAGCACTGAGCAGTGGGCAGATGTCCAGCTCAGTCAAGGACGTCACTGACGGACTCTGATGCTGCTCTGGTGCAAATCCAGCCAATCCATCAATTTAACGTACCACCACTGTTTCTCGTACAGTTGAAATGTTTTTTTCTGCAGAAATGGGAATTTCTTTCCCTGAGAAAGGTTTCAACATTCATTAGGTTATACCGTAATAAAGTGCAACACTTCCAAAGCATATCATAATTTGTTGGTCTTGGTCTGAGATAATTACTGCATGTATTTGCGTGGAAGGATCTGTGGTATGCAGGATGTTGTCTCCTTGTTCTGGTGGTTTGAGGTGCAGAAACGTTACTCAAGGACATTTTGATGTTGTTTTTTTCACTTAAGCTGTTGAAAGCCTGTCTGCGCTTGTCATGTCAAGATATTCATTGCAGATGATCATTATTTTTGCTGAATTGATATTAGTAAGCTGCAGGTAACAATGGTGATGAGTTGTACTCGTGTCTATTGAGTGAAATACTGACTGTGTCCCAGTTAAGGAATAGTTTGCTTTACAAATGTAGAAATCGTTGTGATTCGGTTGTTTGGACTTGAAACCAGTACACCGACTTTGCAAAATAGGAGCTGAAGTATCAACATACAGTTCAGCTTTTTAAGTAGAAAAATCTTTGTGGTGATGCAACAATGTACAACTTGTCTTAAAAGACCTCATTCGACTTGGTTATTTTCTGTAAGAAGCAGCTTATGTGTAATTGTGAGTAGCTGTGTAACAGCAACTAACAGATAGTATCTAGTAGAAATTGTCAGCCTCTAGTATTAAGAAGTTATCATTAGCATGATGGCTAGTTAATGAAAGCAACAAAAAGACAAATGTAAGTCAACTAAGTTCACTGTTTTCAACCTACATCTCATCACATTTACATTGTCCTTCTGTTGTAGATAAAGATACACATATGAATATAGATGTTTTAGTTGTTATGTTTCATCTGTTATTTTCAAGCCTATTCTCCAGAAGGCCCGGTGGTTCCTATATTTCTGCCATGTTAGTGGCATGGCTCCAGGGATGGGGATGTCATGTGGTTGGTTAGTTAGTTGTTCAGTCCACCACTTTGGTCCAGACTTTGTTGCATGGATGAGCATGAAATATTGTACAGATATAAAAGGTTCATAGAGGATGACTCCCGTGTTTTCCTCTGGCCCCATCAGCCTCAGCTGGGCTACTTAGCAAATGTCTTAGCATGACGTAGAATCTATACGGGCGAATTGAATGGATCGCAATCGCTGATTTTTGCTTCATTTGTAAACAGCTATCTGCCCTGTCTAAAGCCCCGATTCACAGACGATAGTGTGCTCATGATATTATAGTAAAAACACACCCATGACTTTTTGCCCAGGAGCGAGAGGGAAGAACTTCTTTTCAATTTGTTTGTATGATAACCTTGTTTTTTATTCATTATTTTTTTCTAATGCATTTAAACAAAAGCCGCACAATACTTTTGTAAATTCAACACAGCCTTGTTTACAAGGCCTCGACTATGCTTATAGAACTCTGATCAAAAATCAAACGTGAAAAGAAGCCAAGGATAGAAACATGTTGAGCCTGTATGGTGTAAAAGGCAGTTGTGTGTGCTGTGGAAGGGAAGGAAACCGGACAAGAGCTTGGGATCACTTTCTAAATGTACGCCTTAACCTCTATGTAGAGTTCCATTAGAACCACTGAAGCAAGCCTCTTCAAGTCTCATATCCACGGCAACAGAGCAGTGACTGAGACTCTTTGTTCTTGACACCATCAGCATACACACCCTGTAAAGGTTGTCGATACAACAAAGCACACGCGCTGCGTGTGTTCGGTCTCCAGTGAGACATTTTGGTGACAGATGTATTGATGTCCAGGGATACTGAACATCCTTTGGTACAAATATAGCACTGTAGGAGACGAGCTAAGAGCTAACCACAGAGAGAGAGCCAATCAAAGAGCAAACACTCCATGTCATGTAACACAGTGGAGTCTCAGCTCTACAGTAGATGTGTGAACTCAGATGTAATAATATAATGTAGACAGGAAAATAACGGTATGCAAAGGATGGAGCTGGGCAGGACAGACAAGTCATAAATACTATAATGTAGACTTCAGCGTTCATATTTTCAGTTGGGTGTAGCTTGTTTAATTTACTCAACGACACAATCCAAACTGACTCAACCATCATATCAAACTAAAGCTTGCTTTACAGTGCAGAGCTCGACAGAAAGGTTTGCTAGGTTGCCATCGGCACCCATTCTGAAGAGCAGTGTTCAATTGGTCCAATCCAGTGCATCATTTAAGTGAATTGATAAGCCAGCTAAGCTCCATCGTGCTTCAACAAAGACATTCCTCTTGAAATCAAAAGCTCAGCACAACCAAATGAACTGAAAGAGTCTCAGAACTTTGTCTCTGTTTTCCCCATAACTAGTACCAGATCACTACATTTCATTTACATATGTTACCACTAATTAGTGTTTAGTGGTATTACTCAAAGACACATTTGGCTGTGGCTCAGAGGTAGATTGGGTCATCCTCTATTTAGAAGATCGGCGGTTCGATCCCCGGCTCCTCCAGTCCGCCTTTCGAATTGTCCTTGGGCAAGAACCTGAACCCCAAATAGCATCAGAAGGCTGTGCCATCAGTGCATACAAAGTCCATTCAGCGTTTACATTGTTTCATTGATTTTGGGTCTGCAGACAATAAACAATGTTTATATAAAAAGACAAAAGAAAACGTTTTGAAGAACAAAGGCAATACAAAGAAATCTGTGCCAACGGTGGGTATTATGTGGAAGTCATACCAATATGATGCATGATTGCTGCACCAATACCAAGAATGAATACACGTTTGAACTGTTTTTCATTTAAAGCTGCAGTAATGAATGCAAGTCAGCTGCTTTTAGTGAAAATGCTCTGATGAAGTGACCGTACTCTATCAGCTCAGCAGCAAACAGCAGACAGACTCCGTTAGAGCTTAGCTGGTGAACACAGTGCAGCGTTTGGCAGCTAAAGAGACAGACACTGGAGGCTTTCCCCTCAGGCGTTGGTGGAGACCCAATCACAGAACGCATCGACGTTCTGCCTGACCACGATTTAGCCTCTGGGAGCAACGGCTAATATTTCTGAGGTTCCGGTTTAGTCGGCGGCTATCAGGGCCAGGACTTCTTTTATCATGCGCTGCTCATTGTTTGCAGTTTGATGAGCAGCTTGAGAGGCGAGAATGGAGTCTATAAACACATATCTATGAATGGAGACATATACAATCTAAATCATTGTCAGACGATAGCTGCTGGGTTTCTGGATTTTGGCCAATGCGTTCCACCTCATTTGCTCTCCACACATGCTGTTTACCTGCATTCAACCAAAGACTGCTCAAACGTGATTGGTCGCTACTACTCACAACCCTTCAGGGACCATAATATTGTCTCGTTTCCTGCAGATTCTACATTCATATACAGGTATCTGTTTTAGTGGAGACGGAATATTGTCCAAAGTGGCGTTCAGAACGAAATACAATACACAACAATACAAGAAAGCAAGTAAAAAGGTGTAATCATCGTCTCTGTACATCTATCACACTCATACATTAGTCAGTGGTTACTGTTAATTAACTCTTGATGATAAATCAATAGTGACTGTATCAGTACTGTGTGATCAAATCTAACCCGTCAGTGTGTGCTGTCCCGTGTGTCTTACAGAAAGCCTACTGTGGCCACTGTGCTGAAAGGATATGGGGGCTGGGCAGGCAGGGCTACAAGTGTATCAACTGCAAACTGCTGGTCCATAAGCGCTGTCACAGACTCATCCCTCAGACCTGCCAAAGGCTTATGGTGAGTGTGTCGACACAGCCTCTCAGCAAACTGATGATGAAGATTACATTCCCTCACCAGGAGAGTTTTATGTGACAGTAGTACAAGTGGAACACATGTACTTGTACGCTACCACTTTCTTAGGAGATTCAATTCTAAAGTGGTAATAATATTTCTCATTGCACAACTACAGCGAGGTCAGTAGGTGCAAGTTGAAACAGGAAGTTGGTCTGTAGACTGTGTGGTTTGTTATTAACGGACAGTTTGAGTGATAACTTTTCCCCTTTTTCTTACCCAAACATAAATATAGGACTAATCTGGGTGTCTGATCAACGGACTGCTCTGTTTTTTTTATTTTTTATTGTTATATATATTTTATACATTATTATATTGTAATAAACTGAAATGATCCTTCATCAAGTTTAGGGTTGTTCAGGTTTTTATTATAACAAAAGTGTTAACTGAAATCAAACCTGACTCAAAGTAGAAAGCTTCTTTCCGTCAGTAGAAATAGAATCACAGTCTGTTTGGAATCATCTTCAGGTGAAGCTTGATGAGGGAAATACATTTATTTGACTCTCTGTGATCAAGAAAGATGAATTACAGTAGTACTAAAATACCCACGCTGTACTGTATGTTGCTCACTGCACTTTTGGGTTGAAGGTTTTTTTTCAGTTTTATTTTGGACAGAAAATAGTTCTCAGCTGAAGCCACTGTCACCATATTAAAGGTGCAATGTGTAACATCTGGCTACCTGCTCCAAACAAATAGGGGGCAGCATTTCACCTCTACTACTGGGTTTAAACAACCTAAATTGACAGTTCATCCATCCAATATCTGTTACTGCTTATCCTGTGGGCGGAGGCAGGGAACACCCTGGACAGGTCGCCAGACTATCACAGAGGCTGACTCATAGAGACAGACAACTATTCACGCTCACATACTCACCCACGGGCAATTTAGAGTCATCAGTTAACCTAAGCTGCATGTCTTTGTGTGGGAGGAAGCCGCAGAACCCTGAGGGAGAACCCACACTGACACGGGGAGAAAATGCAAACTATGTCCAGCAAACCCGGACTCCTCTTGCTATGAGGCGATAGTGCTAGCCACCACACCACCGTGCAGACCTACATTTACAGTCATCAATTATCAAAAAAAACGTACTACCTAACAGCAGGGCAAGAATACGTAAAACTGAACCAAACTGCTGAAACTCTAAAAGCATGTCATATTAACACTGATGTTCATGTGTGGCGTCGGCCTGTAGTTTACGTTAGTCATCCTTGTTTGTTTGCTGTGACACTAACCGGTGGCTCTACGTCCACGTACGCTCATAGGTGGTTTATTGGATTCAATTCAAAGTTGCAGGAACGTGAAACTACTCACATTTGATGTCCTCCCTGCCACCAGGAGACTACTACACAGGGAGGAGAGCGTGCAGCAGCTCCAAGAGACGGAGCTTCAGTTAGCGGTTAGCTGTAACAACTCACATCCAGCCAGCCCAAACCCCAGAGCTGGGAGTCACAGTGGGCTGTGGCCAGCCACAGTGCTAGGTCTAACCCGTGTAACAGCAGCAACTCTCATTGTGTTCATATTTTGGAAAATCACCAATGGTCAACCCAGTACAGTATCCTCACACTATCGATATTGAGGTATTTGGTCAAAAAGATATTGATAATTTTATTTCTATGTACCGCCCAGCCCTAAAACAAGCTCTAAAAACAAACCATGGGTGTATTATTGACACGACCTCGGGGCAGTTCTACTTCTTCATCCTCTCATGTAACACAGACGTAGACGTATTGACGTAGCCTCAACACTGTGACCTCTTCACATTCTCTTCATCTTTTTTTTTAAACTGAAATTCTGGCCAGATCTTACACATTGCACCTTTATTGGATATGTAAGAGATGTGGTATGGTGCTCTAAGCCGCTGTAGGAGCACAATCATACCCATAGGAGATCAACGTATTCAAGCCCAACACAGATACAGCTCTCTTTGCACACTCCCTGTTTGCCTTCCTGCAGCTCGTCCTGCTCTTTTGAAACCAGACATCAAGTTTAGTAACAGCAAACCGGTGTGTTCCATGTAATCGATCCATTTGACCACAAAGGAAGCATCTGACCTAACACAAAGACCCAAAACCCTGACTAGAATCAATGGAGCTTTGGGCTAACTGTCCGCTGTCAGCAGTGGGTGGCCCCCCTCTTGATCACAGCATTGACCTGATGTCTTCAGTCTCAGATAAGTGACTTTGAGGCTTGATGAGATCAAATGATTTCATGACTTTATTCCAGTGAAACCCACATTGTCATTAGAGTCTGGGAGCAACAGCATGTCTGTACTAGAGCATTTCTCCAAATGCAGACTTTTCCTCACACACATGATTCCTCACACACTCTTCCAGGAGTGTACCACCAAGAGTGGATATGTCAGTGGGCATTTGGGGGAATGTGTCAGGGGATATTTAGGAGGCTTTTTGAATTTCTTTGTTCAGGATCCAGTCATGCCATCACAGGAGCCCCCTTCAGATGCCAAGAGTGAAGAAGTGGACCTTCCACCAGAGGACACAGATGGAAGTAAGCCCTTCTTATTTTTTAACAAAGTACTGTGCTGCCATCTTAATGGATCCTTTAATTATTTCTAAGATTAAAAAAAGTACAAGCTCAATATTTGCCTCACATCTTCAGACTTCAACATTGTTCCACTTAATGAAGAACGGTGGATATAATTCTGAGGAGAGCTAATAATAAGCTACAGCAATGAGGTTCATACTTTGTTTCAGATACAAGACAAAAAAGCTACTCTGACTCCAGTTAACCGTAAATGTTAATGTTAGAGATGAGCAGTGTAATAAAGGATGCTATTATCAGCATACAGCAGAATGCTATGGCTGTCAAGTTACATCAAAATAAAACATGTGTTGTGTATCTTTCTGTATGTTTGATCACTGTTGATTCAGAAAGGTTCTTTGAGATGCTGTTATACTTAATACTGACAATGTATAAAAAGAGACGTCTCATCTAACAGGCTTCATTCTTACATCTTGAAATGATCCACTAGGGGGCAGTCGTCCCTGACCAACGTCAGAATATCTTTCTTAAGAACCTGTGATTTTGCACATCATAAACATAACTAAACGTGCTGACTCTGTGTGAAAAGACTGAACTATAATCATGGCTCTGCTCTAACCTACCCATCGCTGCAGTGGAGAAATAGTTTTGAGTGCCACAACCCCGCAGAGTTAGCGTACAGATTGGCCGAGGTTCCAGAGCCGTCAGCGGACAGAAGATACTGCTCATTGTTTCATGACTTTTGAAACCTGATTTTATATACTTGACTGACTTCTTTTATCCTCCAAACTTGGCTGGTGGTTACATTTTCTGTGGTGTGACAAACTCGGAACACATAATTATTTTTGCTTTACCAGACTTGATTGAACACAATTCTCCCTGTAATGCACAAAAAAAAGGACACAAATTCAAACTCATGGTGGTAAAATGACAACATTGTGTGACAACATTATGGAAAGAACCCTCCAGAGAAATCAAACACTTTTCTTTACATTTCACTTGATCAGGTCTGTTTGTTATTATGTCTAACCAAGTCTCGTTCAAGGAGAAGTCTCGTTCTGAAATCTCGTGTCGCAACCACATTGCCAAAATCCTCAACATATTCAGCAATGACATTGAAAATCCTTCAACATTAAGCTAAGCTTTCTGTACTCCAACACAAGAAACTCTGACAACACCGGCTCTGCTCTCTTCAACTCTCACTCATCAACAAGTCACCTCTCAGGGTTTCACAACGAGACTTCTTCTTGAACGAGACTTGGTTAGACTTAGTTTAGCATTACAGGACTCAGCATTTGTGTTAACTTGTCAGTCTGGTTCAGACTAGTTCTCTGCTGTATATTTCCAAAATGTCACTGTGCTCTCTAAATACTCCCTCCTCGTCACATTTTGAGTCTTTTTTTTCGTCATTTAGTGCAAACTGTTACCATGGAAACATGGCTCTTAGTCCAGAGTTAGCCAGAGGCTAGGGTGGCTAACCTTTTAGCCTTAAATTAAGTCGGTCTTTCATTTTAACATTCACATTTTCTTTAAACTAATCTACGAGCAGAGAGAAGACTGACCTGAAATACAGAGCACTCTATGTGACCTCTGACCTCTGACTTGGGCTTTCTGTCACGTCTTTGTCAAATCCACAAGCAGTGAAACCCTTATGAGAGCCTCAAGAACACACAAACAACATACATGACTGAACACAGCTCCCATCACTTTTAGATTAGCAAACAAAGTTGATCATTGCTGGTACCAATGAAGACACTGTTTGCACTGTACATTACATAGAGAAGACAGTATACACATGATGTCATCCCCAGACAAATTAATTAATAGAACTGATACTTTGTTCAAAAGATTCTCTTTAGACCCCGGTAGCTTCACCGCACACTCGCCATCATCACTTATGTAACTATGACATGTTATCTAACCACATTGCTGCTCTCTGATGGGATCCCATAGAACACAGTGGTAAATCCTATTAAAGGGAGACTGTGTGGACTGATGGGGGTCTGGTGGGGGTCCCTGATAGGAAATGCTCTGTGGATTGACCTAGTTTGGAATTCCTGGTGGATAGCTGGACTTGATTCTGTGTACTCTACCTACCTCTACTGGACAAAAACAGAACAGCATGTTAAACCTGTCAGTGCAGATTTGCTTATGTCACATTCTAAATGTCTTTTTCTGTGTCTGCAGTACCTTTTCTACCACACAACTGTACAGTAGATAAAACGGAGGATGCAGATACAGAGGTAAGAATTTACTGTCATTTGATAGAAGTTTGCATGGTCATATTTGTTGCTCTTAAAGTTTGTAAAATAATCATCCTGTCCTGATTTACACTCACAAAGTGGAATAATGTCTTTAAAACATTTTACACATTTGGGAAAAGGAGACAAATATTTTTCTTTGTTTCAAAATCCTTTGGAAAGCACTGCTACTTGAGCATTCTTCTACCTAAAACTTGAACATAAAAACATTCTAACCATTCATATTTACTGTGAATGTATCAATACACTCCCACCTCTCTGCCCTCTGCCCCCTGCAGGACATCAAAGCAGTAGTGGACGGCATCGATGGCATCAAGCTGTCCCAGGGCCTGGCTCTCGGGCTGGGTGACTTCGACCTGATCCGAGTGATCGGGCGCGGCAGCTATGCCAAGGTCCTGCTGGTCCGGCTAAAGAAGAACAAGCAGGTGTACGCCATGAAGGTGGTGAAGAAGGAGCTGGTCCACGATGACGAGGTGAGACACTCAGGACACCTGGGAGGTCCAGGATGTGAGACAGGGGGCCGGGTGCATAGTGCTCAGAGTTTTACAGACTAAAATCAACTCCAGAGTGTGCTACACTTGTTATTAAACCAAACTTATTCTCTGCTTAGAATGGCAGTTATCAGGTTATCAATCTTTTTTCGTCTTCTTGTATTTAAATGAGAAAAAACATGGTGTCCTGACAACGAGCCTTCATTTGATGTGGACTTGATCCAGACACTAGAGACACTTAATGCATCATAAGTCATCTGCAATATTACTAAAAAAGGAAAAGTGGGAGCCACTTCACTCATGTTCCACTTTGTGTGCTTTGTTTATATCATCAACAGGTTAATGCCAACACCTTTTTATTTATTCACTAGCTGAATCCAACACAAGATAAGATAAGATAATCCTTTATTAGTCCCGCAGTGGGGACATTTACAGGATTTCCCCATTTAAAGTTTATGTACAGGTATAAAGTTATGTACAGGTGTCTGACATCATACAGGCATGACCAACTTGGGTCCTATTTTTGTAAAAGCCATTCTGATAACTCACCAAAATAATTGCTGAGATTCAGAAACACAACATCACTACAGCATAGTCCAAAAGGGCAAGAACCAGGAGAGTCAGAGGATCAGACGGGTTGTAAACAAACAGAATATCTAAACCCCTTTATATGGAGGTAAAGGGGAAAACAAGAGCACCTGAAATGCTGCTAGTTTCACTTGTGCCTTGATTTTAACTTGTAAATATGTTTTGGTGCAAACTGTGTGACCAGTCTGTTCTTTCCACGCCCAGATAACTTTTACAATGTTATTATTACTGGTGGGAATGACGGCCAAATCTACAAATACACTATACCACAATGAAGACAAAAGACAAGGAATAGAAACCTGTTGTCAACTCTGTAAAATATATTTGAACAAGAAGATCATCTTTGGATTCTGGTGCTGTGTGTCCAGAAACGGATTTCTAAGGAAGAGCCTAGAGAGTGAAAAGTGTCATGTGTTCGTCTCTTTGTACACAGCTGTTTATTTCTGCACATCCAAAGCAAACACTCATTCTTTGCAATGCAAGGTGCTGCCGCTCTTTTTACCTTTGGATTGGCCCAGAAATCGATCAGGAACAAGGGGACGGGTCATTTCTGTGTAGAAATCGAGCTAAGCAACAGACACTGGTGGCATGTGATGTACATTAAGACACCTGCACCTTTTCACTTCTGTGTAAACCCACGTGTAGGCTACAGCATGATACACCACTGTCCTGTTTTCCAGCTTCAACTTGCGTTGCTGCTCCGGGAAAGCAGCACTTTCCTTAGTGGCGTTCACTCCCCAGGGTGGCTCCACTAGCTTTTGCGCCCTCTGGTTTGTGACACAAAGCTGTACAAACCAGCCAGTGTCTCATGCAATGTAGGGTGGAACACATAAAGTTATGGTCTGTAGGACTTCTGCATTGATCCTGGACGCATGAAGGGAAATCAGTCTATTAGTGGGTCAGATGTGTTTCATGGATACTCTTTTGTATCACATCGTCAGCACATGTGGTTAGGCTTCTGGATACTGTCTCCTTTATAGCTTTGACCTTGCATTCCAAATGTCCCTGATTAGCTGGTGAGGATGAAAAGCAGCAGGGCTGTGGGTCCGGAGGGCATGCAGGGACGATGTAACAGGTCTGAGAGCAGTAATCAGGGAGGAAGGGAGGCTGGAGATTCAACAGTGAGCGGTGGAGAGATGGAAAGCAGGGATAAGTAAAAGGGAGTGAAGTAGGAGACAGGAGCTTCTGAAGCGAGTGGAGGGAATGGGACGGAGGGGGGGGGGGGCTTATGAATGGGAACAGGGCTCAGGAGGAAGCTGGAGAAGTGAGTGGGTGACTCACTGGAGAAGATGAAATCTCAATATCCCATCCTTTTTGCAGTGATGAATCACCAGATGAACATGCATGACTTGAAATTAATTTTAAAAAAAGGAAAAAGTCTGCATAACGCTCAAGCAGGAAACACGCAGACATACATATCTGTCACATTTATTATTAATGTGAGTTTAACTGGCAGAGCATGGCGTTTCCACATTTCACATTTTATTCAAGTGGACAAGAACAAGGAGAATTATCATCCTTCCATGTTCACCAAACTAGTATAATACATGATGTTCAGAGAATTATGATTATTTTTTTGTCATTTTCAAAATATTGCTATCAATCTCATGTCTGTGTGTTGAGTACAGAACCGGAGTCAGGACATAGTTAGCCTAGCTGAGAATAAAGACTTGCAGTAGGTGGAGACAGTAAGCCTGGGAAGGTCCAAAGCTCAATACTACACCTCCTAACACTCATTCACTTGTTGTGACTTGTTTGTTTATTCTGTACACAAACAGATATGGTTTGTGGTTTTATTTCCTGGAACAACTGCTTACCCATTCGCCCACACACATACATACACACGCACGCACGCGCGCGCGCGCACACACACACACACACACACACACACACACACACACACACACACAC